AAGGTGGACAGGGCAGGAAGACCGGAGGTTCTAGGAACTATCTCAGGTTTGATGTCCATTCAGGATATCTCACAAAGTGTATCCATTCTGCGTTTTTGCAGCGGAGGCGCACACGTCGCGATGCAAGAGAGAGGTGGAGGGAACAGTTAACCGAGACACTTGGCCTTTTTTTCTTTACAGATCAGCAATCTAGCAGGACCCACATAGCCGCCACTCCAATGTACTCACTCTGTCACTGACTCCGATAACGGTTCTCGCTAACATACTGAATGAGACATCTCTTTTCAAAGGCGGGTGATAAAAAATACTTTTTTGGCAGATTTTCTCTAGGCTCTGTATTTTGAGCCAAAGAGTACCCGATTTGGAGTGGGGCAACAATGGAGGGCTGAGGGTCAAGGTCAGGGACTCCCCTGTGGCAAGGAGGTGAAGGGCATGTGGTTGAGAATACCGGGCACGCAGGGGTATGAGAACGACCTTGAGCTGCGCGATAAAGGCTTGGAGCTGCCCTCCCCGGTGAGCGCATACACATTAGCGGCCTTTCAAGTCGAGAGCGTTAACGACAGTCTCCTCCCTCCCAGGAAGCGAAGACGACTAGCCTCGCTGTGCCCTGCTTGCTGCGCCTGCCTGGCCATTCTGGCAACCCCTTTGCTTCCTCTCCCAGCTCCGCTTGCTCTCCCACCAGACTGCTGCGCGAGCGTCACCAGCCTGCTGCGCGAGTGCCACCAACGCCTGCTGCGCGAGTGTCACCACCGCCCGCTGCGCCAACACCTGCTGCACAAGCGTCACCAACGCCTGCTGCGCGACCGTCACCAGCACCCGCTGCGCGAGTGTCACCAGCCGGTGGGGCTCCCTGTAGGAGACAGCGCGGCGAGGCAGGAAGGTCGGCAACCCGGGTGTTGAATGGGTCATGGAATGGTGACTGGAGTGGGTGGGGGGGAAGGAGTCGGGGCAGGTGCAACTGGGGGAGCTGACGGAGCGCGTGCTGCAGCGTTTAGGCCCCGGGGGGGACCCAATGGGGTCCGCATTAGCTGCAACCAACGAGGCCCCCTGTGCGGCTTCACTTCCACCTGCGGATCGCAAGCTGACTGCGGAGGCCTCGAAGCAGAAGCCCTTGAACAGTGGTTTGCCACAAACGGTCGGACAGGTGCGCTCCTGGTAGAGCAAAGTGCCCCCGTGTGGTCTGAAGGCTGCGCCGCAGTGTGCCCGTGAAGTCATGTGCTTGGCGTCGGTCTGCCGGCGGCTGCGAATGTGATACCACACGGTCCACGCCGTTCACAGCCTGCACACGGGGGTGTCGAACCTCCTCACCAAGCAGTGCCACTCGCAGTCAATGGAGAACTCGAGATGCTCTCCTCGCAAGGCGGTCAACTCGTTGAAGTCGGCGCGTCCTTGCGCATCCTTGCCACTTGCAAAAGAAACAGAGTCCAAGCAAGTGACATGACAGTTTGGGGCATACAGTCCATCGCAGCCATCCAGATTAGATCTCGCACCATCAGTCAGACAGTCGAGTGTGCAGCCGGGCGACTGCAGTAGAGTCTCGGTGTCTTTGTCCAAGAAAGTGTTTGTCACAGAGCTGTGCACTGCGGTAAGACCCTCCTGCAGGCGGCAGAGATATAGGCGCATGCCGGGCCTCAGAATCGCCCAGCACTGATAGAGAGGAGCGCCTCTTTGCGGTGATCCCCGGCCATGTCTCCCAGCTGCGATTCACCACACCACACGGTGGCCCAAGCTACTTACCTGGGCTCTCCTAGGATCCAACGGCCGAGGTCTGGAATCCCACGGTACGGGAGGGCCCGTGTTGCACAGTCTTCAGCCATCTCGCATGTCCAAGTTCGGTTGGGAAGCCAAGGCCTGGCCCTTGCGCCAGCATGGTATAGGCTTGGAGCGATCGTGAGGCTTGTGCACCGTTGATGGTATCGGCTTGGAGCGATCGTGCGGCTTGTGCACCGTTGACGCCAACAAGTGCAAATTCGTGTCACTCTGGATGGTATGTCGAGGATGGACTGTCGAGGTCGTCACCTCCGCTACTATCTTAAGTTCATGCGCACGGCCGCAAGGATTGTGCGCCTTGTCGCCCTTTCACCTCTCTTGCCCGCTGACGCCTGGCCATGGCTGGGCTGGTGGCGTGGCGCTCCACAGGGCGCTGCCAAAAGCGCGAGCGGGGGGGCAGCGGGACCCCGGCCGGCAGTGCAGCAGCTGCGGGAGGTGGAGGAGCTGAGCCAGGACCTTGGCGAGCTGGCGGCGACCCGCGAGCGCAGAGCTGAGCACGGCGCGGCGATGGTCACCAGGGATCCTCACGGCGATGCGGCAGGGAGCGTCTCCGCGGACTCCGAGGCTCCAAACACGTCGCCGTGCAGAGACGGAGGCATGATGAATGCACATGCCAGCGGGGCGCCCGCTGCCCATTCCGCCGCGGGCGACGTGCCTTCCCCAGCGCCTCGAAGCCCCGTGCAGCCGGAGCACAAGCTGGTGCGGCCACCAGGCGGCTCCCCACTGGTCGCTGCTCTCCCTGCAATGCCGAGCGTCGGCGTGTAGCATGGGCGGCTTGCTGTGCTTGGCCGGGCCTCGTCACTCGGCAGCAGCTGAATCGGCACGGCTTCTCCCGCCCTGGCAGCATGCAGTTCTTCGATGTGGACACAGTACATGGGACTGCTCAAATGTGTTTGAAGGAGTTGAGATACCTCAGCGGGGCGCTTGAATGATTGAGGTCCGTGCCAAAAGAAGCTGACCAGAGGCGTGTAAGTCACTTCGCGGTGGTAATAATGCTGTGCAGTCCTCTCTCTCTCTCTCACTCTCCCTTGCGGCTCTGCACAACCAACTTGATGGTAGAAGGCGCGCAAGGGAAGCAGGGTTACCCACTTGACGGAGGGGGGCGTGCTGGTTTCAAGCAGGTGGACTTGCCGGGATCGGATCAGCTGGAGCTCACAGTGTGGATGCCCGGCGTGGAGTCCATGGAGGGTGTCGTGCTGGACGTGGATGCAGGGTCCGTGCAGCGCCGCCAGTGCTCTCTTCTCTCCCCCTGCTCGTTGGTTGGTTGGAAAGTTGGTGCGCACTGGAACGGTGTTGCAGCCGAATGCCTTGCACGCTCGCCTTGTCAAGCGGTGCTCGGAGCTGACTTGCACCTCAGATCTTCTCAGTGAAGGTATTTGTGGGAATGCGTTGGGTGGAAATCCTGGCCCGCGTAGTATTGAAGTGTGGTCGTCTTGGTTTGGAGGTTTGCAGGGAGGTGAGATTAGAAGCAGGAAGGCGTTACCAGCTTGCCCTCGAGCTGCCCTGTAAGGTTGATACGAGCTGTGTTGGTGCAAAATACAATAAGAAGCAATGCCGTCTACGCGTCATTCTACCATATGCATCGTAAACTGCATGATGTTTAAGGGAATGAAAGTACCGGCAAACGAAGGCGTTGGTTTTTGGCTTCGCCCACATCAGGCGTGAAATAGTTGCGCGTGTGTATTACAGATCTACTCAAGTATGGTAAGAATTCCAACGCTAAACCAGCACACAGAAAGTCCAAACCAATTCACTGAGAGAGGGAGAGAAATGTTTAGATCCTTTGAGCAGGGTACGATGGCAGCTTTCTGTGATAAGGGATTCCTCTCTGTATGGTGTGTGCACTGTCATGATTTTAATTCCACTTCGGTGCACTTCCCACCTACCGTACCCATAGCAACAAGAAATAGTTATGATGCTAACGAATCGGTTTGTGATGCGATCCTTGTCAACAATCGTCAAGGAATCATTTAGTCAATCCCGGCCGATCGTTGAAAATGGTCGTTGATAAACCCAAATTGTTGCGGGATGAGCCTTGGGGGTTAAAAGCAATCGTGTGAGCACAGTACTAATTGCCGCAGCGGTGGTAATCGTGTGCTAAACTCCGAAACGCGGGCGCCGGGCGGTAACCCCTAGATAGGCTGCACGAGAGCTGCCCCGCAAGAACGAGTACAAAAGTAGAACCGATCGTTTGGGGCACGGGTGACTAAATGGAACAAGGTCTCAATAAGAGGTATCCACGACATCCGGTGCTAGGATCCGGAATCGGCGGTTTGGTTATACTTAGTAGGCCAGTGAAGTTTCGTATTGAAAGGGCATTTTGGATAAGAAATGAAGTCACGCGATAAAAAACGAATTTGGTATCCAATTAGAGGTGTCACATCATCAAATTCCGATATAGTCTAGTTGGTTAGGATGCTCGGCTCTCACCCGAGAGATCCGGGTTCAAGTCCCGGTGTCGGAAGCTATGAGTGCGCATCTCTCCGACCGGAATCGAACCAGTGACCTAGGGATGCCAATTCGAAACAGGACTACAGTCCCCCGCTCTACCAACTGAGCTACAGAGAGATCGATGACACCTCCCTATCAATAGTGTACTGATATCCACTTAATAATATGCGAGCTTTCTACATTTTGGAAAACAACATGCATCGCTGCGGGGCATCGGCAATCCAGTGGTGATACGGTATGCTGATGGTGCTACTGGTGTGGATGATACGAGCGCGTTTGATTCACCAGTCGGTAAATCGATCGAAGTCGACAATCTCAAAGAAGAGAAGAAAGCTGCCACTTTTATCCCGGATAGACGTGTCGCTGTCGTGTGCGCGGGAACACGTAACATGGGCTGTCAAATTCATGTGAAGAATGATGGCCAATATTGTATTATTGACCCCTCTACCTGTTACGGTGTCTAATCTAAATTCAAATGTTGCCGAAAGTAGTGGTTGGCTCTGCTCATGTTATCACTTCGATCCTCATGTCATCTCAATTGTCTCACCTCAGAGTCATACAGCGTTACATGATCGGTGTACACTTCTGATATACAACTTAAGGAATCCTTGCCGCAGCAGCGTAAGATTGCAGACTAACGATCGGCCTACTGGGTGGGTTCTATGCTACAAATAAGCGAGCTTCTCCACATTAAAGTAAGAGCATTTTGTGAAGAAAATGTATATGGTCGTTCCGTATTAATACTACATTTTGTTATCATCACTCGTGATGTAATTTTCTAACGCTAGCAGGATTTGAACCTGCGCCCTTTCGGACTGGCACCTGACGTCAGCGCCTTAGACCGCTCGGCCATCGCGTCCAATCGATGACAAGTAGATGTGCGCACCTGAATATGATATTTGCATTGTGTCATCAGTCCACGCGGCGATGACCCGGTCGAGGATGATCGAGGATGCTCGCGTCGGGGACATTCCGACCAAACGAAACCCGAACTGGAATCGCACGGGTGGAGATGACGCGAACAATGAACGATTGTGATACTGGTACTGTCACAGCGTGGATTGTGACACAAAAAAATGTATAGATTTATATCTATCAATATTTGAAGACTATTTGTAAATATATACAGACAATACAAAATTGAAAATTTCTACATTTTTTATGGGCCACTGACTCACGTTAAAATTGTTTTTTATTATATAATGTTATTCTTAATTTTAAAATATATTTCATACTTTATTTTTTAAATAGATATATCAATATATAAATCCGGAGTGGTGCATATTTATATATTACCAGTGAATATATTTTTATTATATAGGTTGGGGGAAAATCTTTAGATTGTCCCCCTCTTTGAAAAAAACCGGGGTTTTTTGTCATTATATATTACATACTTACGGCGTCACACTTCTGTGTATAAATAAATCAACCAAAATCTATATAAATCTATAATTCATAAGACTTAATTTTGTAGAAACCGGGTATTACAAAACGAACGCTTTTTTATGTCACACTTTCGAATGTCCCAATCGTAGGCTGTACAAATTCGTATTCGTATGTCCCACTTTGGAATGTCCCAATCGTAGGCTGTACAAATTTGTATTCGTATGTCGACGCTTTTTGATGGCTGTCATCATGCATGGCGCTTTTCGCGACGCGACGCGGGAGTCGCGCTCGTGTCACGCGTGTAAAAATCGTGGATATGATTGTGAGGCGAAGCATTTCGCGGTGATCTTTAAATTTGAGAAGATCTTTAGCGTCGTCGTTGAGATGAAAAGTGCGAAACGAACGCTGCAGTATAAAATTTGATTTCATTCCGCACCGATTTATAAATTTCACGAGCCCTTTAGTGCTGTGGAGATAAAAACTGCGAAACGAATTTTCAGTCGTGGATATGTTTGTGGAGCGAACGCTGCAGTATAACTTGAATCCATTTCGCGGTGATCTATAAATTTGACAAGAGCTTTAGCGTCATTGTGTAATATTGTTCATCACAGGAATGTGGAATATTGTATGATAAATTTCTAAATTTACGATGTGTACATATTCGCGACATTGGTCGAGTTGGTACGGCGCTAGGCTATGTACCTCGCACTCGTGGGTTCGATTCCCACTGAGGGTCTAGGTTGCGCAGATTTAAGGCGTGGTTGGAGAGTGCTGACGAGCATGCGACGGCCGTCCCGCCTGCAGACGTGCAGTGTTGGGGGTGTCTCCCAAGCGTCTTGAATTGGCATGACCTACCAAAACCCTTATGCGTTTTCTGGATAATGTGTTAATAATTTTTGAGTGACGGTGTCTTTTTTTGTAACAGGTGTGCTTTAAGTTCTACTATATGGCTTACGGTATAAGCTACGGGTATCTTCACGACTGTCGGACACGCGTGCTCGAGGGCCGACGCACGTTTGTTCATGGATTAACGTACGAGGAGGACAACCACAAGATTTCCCTGAAACGCGAGTCGGTCGTCGCATGGATCAAGAAATACGCCGACGAATAAACATTTCGTAGGTCCGTGAGCGGTCCGCACGGTCCGTGATGAAACGTCGATAGGTCCGCGAGCGGTCCACACGGTCCAACCAAAAATTCAGCCGAACATCGGAACTAGGCTGAATTCATCTCATATATCGAGATCGATATAGGGCTGGAATTAACACACACACACATAGAGAGAGAGAGCTGAATTTAACACACATATATGGCCGGATTCAAGTCTTATACAGTATCGGGTAGGTCGAATTCACATAGGTCGAAGATTTCGGCATTATCGTCAAAATTATTAAATTCAAAGTAATGCGCATAATACTCTATGGGAGATAAAGTGCAAAATCAATACACACATAAATTAATGTACCATTACCCATAAACATGATTGTATAATAACTAAAAAGACAAATAAAACCAAGAGAAATATCTGATGTGCTGAATGCCGCATAGTAAAGTCGAGTGTGTTTTGTGAAGTGTCCCGGGAAGAAACCTCGAAACGAAACCGTCTGCAAATCCACATATATCATATCGACGAATAGGAGAAACGGACGGATGCATATTGATCTTGGATGCTCACGAATAGTTGTATTATGGGATAAGTCCCCCATAATTATGTCCACGCGGCAGTCTGGGACCGGTACAATGGTGGCAGATTATGGATAGGTCCCGCATAGGTCCACGCGGTCAGGGCCAGAATCGCCAATTCTGCTCATAGGTCCGATCGGAAACGCGCGACAGGTCCCCAATAGGTCCGAGGCACGATTTGGGGGGTCCGATAGGTCCAGGACCGGTCAATTAGGCCTTGACAGCGACACTGGCCCGTTGCACTACCATCTGTTCCATCATCTGAAGTTCAGCGAGTGTGGCGAGATCGACATAAAGGCCCACCCTGGTGAGAACTTGCTGCTCGAGTAAAACAGGTGGACAGTGCCCGACCGCGACAGTGGTAGGATGCGCAATCAACGGCCCGCGACATCGAAGTGGCCACGCAGATGAACTCTGCTCAGGTGAAAGGGCACCGACCCAAGAACCGAAAAGGCAACGACCTAGAAACGAGCCTTGTCAACGAATTCAAGCCAAGTGCACATGCTGATTCCTGTGCAATAGTTGATTCCACTGCCGATACAATTGTGAAGTGGGTGCATCAGGGGATAGCCACCCCTTAAGGGGGAAGAGCGTTGTACCCGGAAGTATATACGAAACGAGAGAGATCTGTGTATCGAACCGTATGGAGAGAATTGTATCTGAACGACTGTGTCATCGGGACATTGGGGAAGTAACCCTGTATGCCCGAAATGCTAGATCGAGATTGTTCACGTTCGGCTAGGGAAGATCACGTAGGCCGAACGTCTACTTATTCATGAACGATCGTGAGAGACGGCATTATTGAAAAAACATGAAATAGCAACAACCTAGTCAACGAACAGACATGTCGGTATACAGCACCTAGAGATATATTGAAAGTTTTACGACATGTATATGTTTGTCACAAGTGTATTCGAAGCTACCGGAGTAGGGAAACCCCGTGAAATTTCACGTGGAGTACATAGAGCTTCCGAGGATTGATAGCGGGGGCAGCAGAGGTTCTGTGACTTCCTAGGGGGGGTGCTGACCCCGCCCCCAGCGCCAAAATCCAAGTCCTAGGGGGGGGCGCTCACCCCCCAAGGGTAGAATGCAAGTCCTAGGGGGGGGTCTGAGCACAGCCCCTTGCCTCAGAATAACTCCAGTGTTCAACGAAAAAGTCGGGAATGTTCAAAAATTCGCGCCTGCGGCGCATAACAATATGTGAGGCGATAGCGCGGGGCACTCCCACCCCCACCATCCTTGCGTAACTAGTCCGCGCCCGTGATGGTGGTATCGTGGGACACTCCCGCCCGCCCCGCGCGCGCGATGGTGGTGTCGTGGGGCACTCCTGCCCGCCCCGCGAGCGTGATGGGGGTATCGTAGGGCACTCCCGTCCCCCGCGAGCGTGATGGTGGTATCACAGGGCACGTATCGTGGGGCACTCCCACCCGACCCGCGCGCGTTATGGTGGTATCGTGGGGCACTCCCGCTCGCCCCGCGCGCGTTATGGTGGTACCGTGGGGCACTCCCGCCCGCCCCGCAGTGTGCGCGAGTGCAAGTTCTAGGGGAGGGTGCTGACCCCCCCAACGGCAAAAAGCAACTCCTAGGGGGGTGGTGGTGCTAACCCCCCAAAGGCAAAATGCAAGTTCT